TTGATTTATTTATTTATTTATTTTTTACCTGAAATGTTGCTGCAGTACAGATTTCATGGTTTTACACTGGTCTAGACCGGAGCAGAGAGGATTCATTGTTCAAAACAAGCGGATCAAGCGAAAATCCACTGGAAGAAGACTAACTTTTTGAAAAATGCATTTAGCATCTAGCTCTTTACTTTAGACCAGAGCAGAGAAAATGGTGCTGCTGTGACCCGTCCTGCTCCACCCAAAGGCTAGACTATCTCTGCTGCTGTGAACTAAAGGGTTTTTTCTTATTATTACTATTAATATTATTAGCTTTTTAAAATGGTCAAATTATTTGTTTTGTTTGTGTAGATGGATATGTTTTTGCAGATACGAGACACCTGAATTTCTTCTAAGGGGATCAATAAAGTATCTATCTATCTATCTATGTCTAGGCTGGTATGACTGAAATGCAACCTTAAGTAAAACAGTACAGATTGTCAACCTTGCTTTAAACGGTGACACTTGTGGGGAGAAGTGTGTTAACTTGAGCACTATCGTCTCCTCTCTCCAACTTTATCTGTCATCATTGTGACTTCAGCAGTAGTTTGTTAATTGCTATTTACCCACTGTCCCATTTACCATGTCATGATGATGGGATGTTGGCCCAGATCCGTGGGCTTCACCCTGGAAGCCTTAAGTTTATGTCTAACAGTATGTGTGTATGTCTTTAGTGTATGTCTAACAAATACAAGCATGTAACAAACACAAGTATGCCCCAAAACTTCTACCTGTGCCTAAAATGCCACAAAACTTCCAGATGCCACTGAAGACGCCAGTGGCAGAAAATGTGGCTGCTGCCTTCGAACAGCTGTGCTGAGCCCTCTCTCCATAGATCAGCAGAAAACATGTATACATGCGCCCTGCTCTGATTTATCCAGAGACTTCGAACTATGCCGGGGCCTGCTTTAAGCTAGAAACACCCTATCCAGAGCTGCCCTAACCAAGTTATGAGATAGTGGCTGTCATGGCCTTCATTCATTCCATTGGATGTGAATCATTCTATGGTCTTTCACTGCTACACACATGACTGTGGGAGCATATTGTCTTGGTGAAACTATCACTTCAGATCAATGTTATGGAATTATACATATTGGTCAAGCTATTATGTTTGTGGCCACTTCATCAGCTGTGCAGTTGAAAACTAAATACATGTGCTAAGTGCCTTATACAATACGGTTTTTCTTAGACCAACATATGATTTTAATATAAACTTTATGATGAGCAGTCCTAACTTATTATCTTAGTCTGTATATTACACACAATTGTATGTCTTTTTTGTTTTCCACGTTCCCAGCTGTTAGATAGACGAGGCCTTAACACATCTAATTACAAACAGCACATGGGAAACATAGATCATAGACCCTATATCAGGATACACAGTCTGTGCTAGATACACTGTAAAGAATTTTCTTGTAGAAAAACGGTAAATTGCTGGCAAATATGGTTCCAGGAATTTACCGTTTTCTCAACATGGCATTATCGTTGCTAATTTTAACGGTTAAAGACTGTTTCACTGAATCACATTATGTCTTTGTGATTTCAGGATTTAACTGTATGTTCTTGTTAATTCACATACAACAAAAACAGCATAATAATGTTAATTTTGTATTATTACACCAAATGACTGTTTCTGTTTCCAATTAGTTTCATTGAACAAAAAACTACAGTTTAATTTTGTTTTCCTTTAATGAACCCTACTTTTCAATTATATTTCAACATCTTCAGTTTATACAAGAAAGTAGTTGAAATCTTTACTTCTATAAGATGCTTAATGCAAAAGCATAACTAATGCAGGAGGTTACATGTGTAAGAGGTACAGTACCTTTTACACTCATGGTTGCTCGTTAGCAAAAATTTCCCAGCATTCCAAAAATACAACAAGTTTATGTTAAATTACGGTAATATATGGTATTGTAACGTTTTTTTGTAGTCACATTAAAATTGTGGTAATAAAACGCCACTGGATGTTTTTTTAACCAATTTATATCTAAATTTGCATGTTTGAATTGTTTTTCAAAATAACATTTGTTTAATGTTGAAATTTCATTGAAATTTTACAGAAATTTGTTACAGTGTATGGATCTTAAACAACTCTTTGAACTTATGCAATAAAGTCTGTATCTTCAGTATTTACTTCAGAAACTTTAATAAAATATGTGTGCAGTGCAGCTCCTCACAGCACGTTCCTGACAACAAGTGTTCTTTTGAGCCCATATGATTGAACTGTAAACTGTATCAAATGAAAATGGTGTAAAATAGAAATCTGTTGTAGAACACAAGTTGTTGTGGGGAAGGTGGATGACAAGCGTTCAATGCAATCAATTAAGCAGTATGTGGCTTTGATTACAAGCCCGTATATTTTGTCAGATCAATTTTCACTCGGGGCGCGACAAAAAACATTTACAGTTAAAGCCTCCGCACATCGGCCTGATGTGACAATGGAGCAGCAGTGTAGAAAATAATAGATGACAGAAGCGGGGAGTGCAGAGTTTCAATAGTGACTAAATGAACATGTGACAGAAACAACAGGAAATCCAGGCCTCGGTCCAAAAGCAAACTTTATCATTGTTATTCATTGCTGTGATTGGTTCAGATCAAACTGATTGGTGGGAAGTATTCTTTTAAAACTCATGCACACTTTTAGATGAATAACATTTCGGCCAGGGCCTTCACAAGAAAAAAGGAAGATGCTGAAACGTTCCTCATGTGTAAATAAAAACACCGGTATATGTAGGTACAGTCTGCAAAAGTTTTTTTTGCTTATCAGGTGGGTAGTATTTGACACTTTATGATTGGGTCCCACTCCAATCCGAGTGACACATACATCTGCCAGGTGAAGATATGTGCCTTTGAATGTGCTTAGTTTATCACTGCATAATGTAACCAAGGCAGGTATAATATATGTGCAGTGTAAGTGAGGTGTAATTGTGTAAATCCCCTGCCATATACAGACTGCTACATGGATGGAAGAGAACGTGCTGCAGTGTTTGTACTATAAACTATGTATTAGGTCAGTGTTCTGGGAGTTCCTTCATTAAACGCCCGTCTCACTAGACACACTACAACCTCAGTGCACGTTGGCGGTTACGTACTTGAATTGACTATAGGGGAAACTGCTCTGAAACTTCTCGGTCACGTTGCTCCTCACTCTGCAGACACCTGCTCAGTCCTGATGCAAACCATAGATCCATACTAGCCTCTTCCCTGATTACTTCTGTAGAGAAGGAAATGACTGAAAGTGTTCAGCAGTGAGCTCCTGTGTGGAGACAAAGCAGCTCTTATGAGAAGAAAGTGTTTTATTATATTTTGTATTTGTTTAATTCATTTTTCCATTACCAATACATGATTATATTGTAGTTGTTGGATTTCCCTATAAGGCATCATAACAAAGAGAGGTGCACTGTATACTACAGGGTCAGGTTTTGCCTCTCTATGCTATCACTGACTGAGACCTACCCAAAAGATCATGGTTTGAATTTCACTATATGTCATTTGTGCGATCATTCCATCAGATCTTATGCTTCTAACCATTTTAGTTTATTTATTTGATCTCTAAATGTGCAGATTTGAGAGTAGATTTCCACATTAATAATTGAACATTTGTTGCCCCGTTATTTTAGAAGATGCAAGTAATTCTGATTTATTGTCGCCATAACAGTTCTAATTGTGTGTAGATTATTATAATTGCTTTGCTGTTATTGTTATTGAGAAAGTCTTGATGGTAAGTGCCATCAGAGTCAGCAATGAGAATAGAGGTCTTAGAATACTTACGCTCCACTCTGTTTTATTCAAGCCATTTGTCACACTTTAGGGACACAGCAATTCTCAAAACGCCTTGAACATAACTACAAAACATTTTGGGAAATTCTCTGAGACACTTCTGAATTAGACATGTGATTGTGGCGCCATTATGTGCAGAACCAATTTGTTCAAAAACACAACAAGGCTCAGGGTTTTCTGTTGGCATGGCGTTCTGGGATTATTTTTATGAAGACTTTCAAAACACACACATAAGGAAAGACCCTGCACCTGCTGTTCCCGAAGTCTGGAGCGACATGATGGGAGAATCTCTCGGGTTTCCCTATTCACATTTCCTGCTCAAAGAAATATCATTGGGAATTTAATGACATTAATTAAAAAACCTGGTCTTGGCCAATATAAATCAATACTTTTTCCTATTACATTTTACCATTTAATTCGCACATGTAATGATTTTTTTCTAATTTATTTCTCATTATTAATTTGAGCAGAAATAGTTGCATAGATGCACAGATATCTACATACAGTACATATACGTACACAATATTTTGTATAACAGCCTTCGCCATATTTGTCAAATGTATTTTCAACTTTATTTACAAATTATTAGCTTGAAATGAGAGGTGAAGAATGTCCCACCCATCTACATTTTGAGTAAATCATTGGTACGAGTAAAGCCTTGCTATTACATGAATGACCCGTCCATGTTTTTCGCCTTCAAGTTAATGTATCTAGTTTTAGCTGAGCTTTCCATTTTGGTCCTGATGATGAATGAGCACTGTGAGCCAAGAACTTCCCTGGAGACAGAAGTGAATCCCGAGCTCAGGTCCAGCAGGTGACAAGGACATAGTGTACCGCACATGTTTGCTCTATAAGTACGCTCCCGGTTTTGTGCCCCTACTCCCTCAAATCCACCCAACCAGTTCTGCTTTAGTCAATGGGGAAGTATGAACCGATATGCAAATTAGCCAGAGACAAATACTGTAATAAAGTTGAAAGGTTTTTGAGACTTAGACTACTGTATAGTCAAGTTTCAGGGCACTGCGACACTTGAGCTGTCAGCTGTGACTGTGCCTCCATCTATCCACACTCGCCTATAGGGATTCAATTACACCCTGATGGGCAGCAGTGGAAAACCAATCCCTGGAATGTGGGGATGATGGGGAGGGCGACGTAACAGCAGAAAACACACAGACAGGCAATCTGGCATGATGAAGAGGCTTCCCTTTGGCTGCGACTCTCGGACCCAGCACGTGCTCCTGTTTCCCCTTCATGCCCCACTGCTCTCCGTACAGAGCCTGGGTGTCTGACCAGCCAAACACCTGCCACTTTACCTCCATCCCTACACCCCCCCACATGTACCTTTTATCCACCCAGGCTTCTCTGCGGGAGCCCTGGCCCTGCCATTTATCAGAATCAGAATCATGTTTATTGCCACGTAGGTAACAGGAGGTCACAGACTTGGAAATTGCTTTGGCTTAGTGCAACAGTCAAAAAGAGATAATAAAAATAAGAATAAAAAACACTTCTAAAGAATAAATTTAAATTTAAAATAGAGTTACAGTTACTATTTACAATATACAAGTGCACATGGTGCACACAATGTAAGGTGAACAGCAGTACAGTGAAGTAAAGTGACGTATGATGGGCAGTAAAGTGACTTTATAAAGGGCGGGGGGACAGGTTAAGAAGTGTTCAAGAGTCCAACAGCAGAAGGGAAGAAACTGTTCTTGTGGCGGGAGGTTCTAGTCCTGATGGACCGCAGCCTCCTGCCTGAGGGGAGTGGTTGGAATAGTCCATGTGCAGGGTGAGAGGGGTCGGCTGTGATACGACCAGCCCGGCCTTGAGCTCGGGCGACGTACAGGTCTTGTACAGCGATGGAAGGCTGCGGCCGATCACTTCCTCTGCAGAGCGCACAATGCGCTGTAGTCTCTGTTTGTCCCTGACTGTGGCTCCAGCGAACCACACGGTGATGGAGGAGGTGATGGAGGAGGTGACGGAGGAGGTGATGATGGACTCGATGATGGCCGTGTAGAACTGCACCAACATCTGTGCAGGCAGCTTGGCTTTCCTGAGCTGCCGCAGGAAGTACATCCTCTGCTGGGCCTTCTTGATGAGGGAGCTGATGGTCGGCTCCCACTTGAGGTCCTGGGTGATTGTGGTGCCCAGGAAACGGAAGGACTCCACAGAGGTGATGGGGGAGTCCATCACGGAGGGTGGGGGTGGGGGGACAGTGCTCTTCCTGAAGTCCACAATCATCTCCACTGTCTTCTGGGCGTTCAGCTCCAGGTTGTTACCACTGCACCAGGACACCAGCCGGTCCACCTCCCTCCTGTAGGCGGACTCATCGTTGTTGGAGATGAGTCCAATGAGGGTGGTGTCGTCCGCGAACTTGATCAGCTTCACGGAGTCGTGGCTGGAGGTGCAGTGGTTGGTGTACAGGGAGAAGAGCAGGGGAGAAAGAACACAGCCCTGTGGGGCTCCTGTATTTATAATCCGAGGGTCCGAGACATTCTTCCCCAGACGCACTCGCTGCTTCCTGGCCGTCAGGAAGTCAGTGATCCACCTGCAGGTGGAATCGGGCACGTTGAGCTGGGAGAGCTTGTCCTGGAGCAGGGACGGCAGGATTGTGTTGAAGGCAGAGCTGAAGTCCACGAACAGGACCCTGGCGTAGGTCCCCGGGGAGTCCAGGTGCTGTAGGATGTGGTGAAGGGCCAGGTTAATGGCGTCGTCTACAGATCTGTTGGCTCTGTAGGCGAACTGCAGGGGGTCCAGGAGGGGGGAGGTGAGGGACTTGAGATGGGAGAGAACCAGGCGTTCAAATGACTTCATGACGACAGACGTAAGTGCTACAGGTCTGTAGTCGTTGAGTCCTCTGATCCTGGGCTTCTTCGGGACGGGGACAATGATGGAGGATTTGAAGCAGGCCGGGACATGGCAAGACTGCAGAGAGGTGTTGAATTTATGCCGTTCAGGATGTAAATTGGGGTAAAATGCAAAAATGGACACGCATTCAGTGTGGGAATATTGAATTTCTATGAAACTCTATGCTCAATGGAGGAAATCAAAACATTTTATTACACAAGATGTGATTAGGTTTCTTTAGATTTAGAGCTGGTATGCTGCTGACATCAGTCTGAACAGAACAAAATAGTTCAAAGCTCAGTATTTGTGTTTTTCACAAAACCTCGAAACGCACACATTGTTCATCAATTTTCAGATCAAAGGATAAACACTCCCCGCAGAGTGCCTTTCACTCCTGATTCAAATCATTCTTTCTTTTTGTGTCTGTATTACACATAGAACATAAATCTATCTCGCTTACAGTTTCTTACTTTCACAAACCTTTGGCACATTGTTAATTTTCATGTGTAGATGTTGTGACGTGTGAAGACTTTTCGTGCAGTCTACTTTCCGCTCTCAGCTTTCTTTCAGACAATCCTGTATTCTGTAAGTAATCGTTATTTAGTAGTAATCTTTATTTATATACCGCCTTTCACAGACCAGAGTCACAAAGCGGTTTACAATTGTTATTTTTGGGCTCTTGTCCTCTCACTCCACACAGAGATGGGAGCGGGGTCGCCAGTACAGGAGGCACATGCCAGACCTATTGCACATGTTTTTAGTGGTAGAGGAAACCGGAGTACCCGGAGGAAACCTACGCAGACACGGGGAGAACATGCAAACTCCACTCAGAAAGGCCCTGGTCCGACCAGGATTCGAACCCAGGACCTTCTTGCTGAAAGGCGAGAGTGCTATCCACTCAGCCACCGTGCCGCCGGTATTCTGCTATTACAATACTCGTTCTACTCTTTCACAAGAATAAAGTCATGTTCTCCACCACACATATTTCCAAGTCTCTATTACAACATTAAGGAGTGGTTTTCTTGGTGGGACTTACGGTGGTTAAAAGCAGGGTAACTACAAGGTGGAAGCTCCCTCACCCCAGGACCAACACAACGTTATGTCCAGCTTTCTGTGATTTGCATTTCACGTTTGTATTTTTGTTGTGTGTGCGTGTGTGTTCTAGCAGATGCTGTTGTTTTCCAGCCATAATACCTGCTAGATGTTGCAGCTATATTGACATTTAGAGTTGCTCATGATAAAGAAAGAAAATAAAACAACCCATGGATTATGTCTTGCAGCAAATGCACCCAAATGAAATTCCTACATTTTCATATGAGGCCTGAAGTGTGGCTCCACACATGCTCTAATTAACCAGCTTCTTCAATGTGTGTACTTCATGCAATTTAACAAAGTGACAGCTGAGGGCAAAGAAAAACGATATGGCCAATAGTACCAGTGCATAAAAATGTAGTTCTGTGCTTTTGGATAATATAACTTAGAATTATGTCCCTTCATATTTCTTCTGGCTCTGCTTATGGCACTGAAGCACTAGTTCCATACGGACTGTGTCGAAATGTTACATATTAGACTGAACTCACATTTGCACAAAACAGGACACAACAGAACTGGACTCAAGCTGGGCTAAAACCTGGACCAAAAAGGGCTTGTGTGGGCGCTCCATTTTTACTCTAGTATGATTATTGCATATCTATTGTATTTGTAAACAATAATAACATTGATTGCGTGGAAACCCAGGCATGAGTATAGAGGTCATGTTCAGTGCAAGCTCAACTTAGCCCCTGCAAACTGTTTTAGAACAGTAGGTGCGGGGGTGTCGCTTGGAGAATGCTCTAACAAGGCCTGTCTGCGTGGGTGTTACAAAAATAAGATCCATGGTTGTGCATTACATGATCTACTGCACACTGCAAACAATGAACAATATGTAGTGTGAATAGGCACATTACCCAGGACCCCAGGGTTATCATTACATGCAATTCATCATAACGGGGTAAACAGATTTGTTTTCTCTAGTGATCTGCTGGCTGTCTGCTATTTTTACGTCACAATCACCTCTAACTGTTGTTGCAATTTCTCTGTTTTGGGCTTCTCTGGCTACGTAAATATGTTATGCATCGTAAATACAGGCTTAACAATTCCAGCTCATACATTAAAATGAATTATTTCTGCAGGTGCCTTATGTGAAGGTGGCGCCAGAAGACATTTTGAAAGTGCAGTTTCCTCGCTTCACCACATTAGATCTGCGGCCCACCAACACAGACATCAGCCTGGCGGTGGCCGGCCTCCTCACCTTCTATAACAGCACCACAGCCTGCCTCATCTGTGCACAGGCCGACTGTGAGTATCACACCTCTAGCCGAACGCCGCACCACACATCTCACGTCTGAATATAGTGTTCAAACACTTTAGTTTATTGTCCGTACTCTTTCAACACATATAATCACACACAAGCTGCACACTTGTCCCCAAATAGCATGTCAACACAAAGCACTCCAGTTCCATTAATGTGGAGAACAAATTGTTTGGGCAGGACTCTTAAAACATACCCATTTAGGGAACATCTGTGGCACACAACACAGAAGTGGACACTTGATATTTTCACAACATATGTTTGTAATAACGGGTCAGATTTCAATGGTTTGGTCTCTCTCGTTCTCGTTCTCTCTCTCCATGAAGTCGTTGACTCACTCCTATACTCCCTGCCTTCCTCTTTCGCTTGCCTCCTCCACCACCATTACGGCTCTCACAAAGTGCCTACATGTCTGTGCCACATATGTAGTTTTTCTTTTGTCCTCTCCAGTTTAATTAAAAGGCAGGGTCATGGCTTTTTTCACTCTGCCAAGGCTGCCTGTATTTTCAGCTCAAATCCTGTTTTTGACACATTTATTCTGCAGTGAGCTGATTAACACCATGCTGGCAAAACCTCCTGATAAGAAATAGACCTTTTAGGCACCTTACGACTAGTATCAGCAAGTTTCAAGGAAAGAATCTCATTTTTACCTCAACTTTTGTTCCCCTAGAGGTTGGTGGGGAGATTTCTGTGTCAGTAGGCTAAGACCGAGCACAGAGGAGATTAAATTAGATGAAAGACTGAGTGTGAGGAATGGGGGCGAGAGGGAGAGTCAGATATTCAAGATGAAGGTGGTCATTGAATAAAGACTGGGAGGGCCCTGTTTCTCATCAAATGTCTGAGGTGCACTAAATTGATTACTCTGATAGAGGGGAAACGGGAAATAGCTGGAATTGGCTACATGAGAGAAAGTACATCCAGGAAGTGACATGATGGCATTGATCGCCCACATACAATCCTGATTCATTGAACACAACAGACACAAAATGGCAGCAAGCTTGAGCTGCATTGTGCGTCTTCATGAGCCAAAGTCTGCGCTCAGCAAGAACATTAGCTCAAAGTCCCATCGCTGTGCAGTGGGTTGGTTACTGACTGTCTGTGATCGGGCCACGTGTCCCGGCCTCATTAATCACACGAGTCGGTGACAGGCTAATAGAGCGTAACCAATTCATGAATATTTTGCAGCCGTGGTTGAAGAGACAGGAGCAGAGGAGCTGGAGTTCTGCCCAAAGACTTGGTGCACACCAGGACAAGCATTAATCTCACTATCTCAAACACCTCAATGACTGTACGAACATCTGTACAGCTGTTGGGTGGTCACATTACTGTCCACAATTTGTTCCTTTGAGAAGGAAAGCAAATGTGTTATCCAATCAGGCAAAATGCAGCTTGTGCTCTAAACACATTTAGAATATCTCATCATATTTGTGTCAAATTGTGTCTTCTGCTTGAGTGGCCGTTGCCGTTTAAATTGTATAAAGGAAGCACAGCTTCATCATTGTATGGCCATAACCTACACTTTCCGTCCAAGAAATAACTGTAGGATCCAGACGCCATGTCTTAGCAGAGCAAGACATAGCATCTGGATCTGGATCTTGGCTAAGTGCTCTCCAGCTAAAAAAACACATCCAAGTCCAGAGATCCTGGTCCTCTTTTCAATTCTGATTTAGTCCTGGCTCAGAGCAGCTCAGAGCTGTCTCTTCTATCTGGGAGCAGAGTGTGGAGGTAAGGGTGTGCACAGCAGCGGCCACATCTCTGTGACCATGTACAGTGTAATCATGCTTTCAGTGTCACTCGTATTTTTACATCAGTTTTTAATTCTCATATAATCCTCATGCTGTGATCCATAGCTTCTCTGTTCTTGTGGTCTAAATCAAGAAGTCATCCAATTGAGCTGAAACACCTCTTTTTCTTTGTCCTCATGGTTTAAAATAATTTAATGAGAAAGGGAAACTCCAGGTTTGGTCGAGTTAAATTAAGTTTATCTGATTTCATTAAGTAATTAAGGATCCAGAACAAGTAATTAAGGTCAACGTTGTTTGGATCGAAGTTATAGGCAACCACTTCAGGGTTCATTGGGTTAAGGCTAGGGTTATGAGTCCAGAGGTCCAGACCTGGATCAAATCAGGCTTTTAGATCAGGTAACTTATTTTAAAATTGGCCTTTTCTGTTTTGTTAATAAAGGGAAATTAACACAGTACAACTTCTTGAGTTTAATAAGTTTTTGTATATTGCGTCTTTGTCCTTCTGCTGTTGATGCTGCGGAGTTTAACTGTTATAAATCACATCACATAATATCTGCTCACAGATAACACAAATAAATGATTCTGTTCTGTGTGGAGTTTGCAGCGGTGTTTTGGCATAGGCGAGAAACTGCAGTGGAAAAGGTCTTTCCACTATTTTAAAAAAACTGACTGACAGTAATAGTGTAGTTCTCAGTTATTTTAGCCTGTTTCAAACCCAAAGTTGTGACTATCATATCAAAATACTAATGATTACTTAAGCTGTTATCCTTACAATCCACACAAGGGGTTTGTCCGTAGTCATCGTCAGTAAGAAAATAGGAAAGATAGATAGTAACAAGTATTTGCTTCTGCAACATCACACATTTCAATCAAAAGCAATGCTCAAATATTAAAGCTTTAAAAAGGATCCATCTGGGTGGATAAATCATTCACAGACGCAAGAGTGAGAGTGAGGAGTAAAGCAGAGACAAGGTGATTGACAGGGACACCAGAGCCTCATTGTGAGATCATGTTTACTGTCTCTATTTACCATTATGGTAATTGGCTTGATCCTTAGACAGTGGGTTTGCCATTAAAATATCGTAAAGCAATTGGGGCCCATAAAAGACTCATAAAGCTTGTTGAGGCAAAAGAAAAGGTATAGTGACATATAAGGTTTGACGGTGGCTTCACTGTGTTCCATTTCATTCAGCTCCTCGCTTTGGGTATGTGCCTCGTCTGCCTTGTGTAATTCACTTAATGTCTTCACACTGTGATACCCCTGGAAAGTGCTGTGTGCGTTTGTCTCAAAGAGACTTCTGGTGACAGTGTGGCTATTGACAGTCACTTTACAGTTATGTATGAAATACTGCGTTACATCCACACTTCAAACAAAAGTCAAATCAACTCAACAAAAAAAGTGCACATTTCTGTCATCTTAAAATAATTTAAAACCGATTTCCATAAAGCAAGTGCAAAAGAATGGGAAAGTAACATTGTGTCAACATGTACAGTTATACAGTGTTCATAATACTGTTATTTTACATAATTGATTTCTAAATAACCAATGGTTCTATGTGTTTTTTTTATCTTCTTGTGTTTGAACTGTACGATTCTCTTATCTTTGCCTGTAATGTGTCTGTCATACATTAGTTTTACATTGTAAGTTGAATTACACAAGTAAATGTCCTTTTGAACGATATTCTACTTTTCCTCGTTTCACCTGCACAGTGAAAAGATGCATTCATTTCAGAGAGAAATCATCTCGCGCCACTCTAGCTCAGTGTAAACTTTCCTGGTTTAGGCAGATAAAGGAGAAGAGTCAGCTTGGCCCAAATGGCACTCACCCTTCACAGTAATGTTTAACGCTCGCCTCTGGTCAAGTGGTCGTTATTCACCAGAACAGTCCAGCGTTTTCATGTGGCTGACAATGAATCAAAGCCAATCTTCCATCAGGAACCAGAATTTAGAATGCAGACATATAAACGCTGGAAGGTTCAATAAAACCTGTAGCCCTCATTTGGCTCTCAGTATGTAGCCAGAGATTTACTAACAGCATATCAAAGTTATGTTGTTCAATCTGCCAGAGAAGCCACAATTTAAGTGTCAAGGTTTAGATTAGGGATGTAAATCGGCGACCGTTTAACCGGTGGTTGACCGTCACAGCGTTAACCGGTCAAAGCTGTCGGTTAAAAAAAGAGAAAAAGGGGAGAGGGGAGGTCTCTTCATAACGCTATTTTAAGCCCTATTTGCACAGTGTGACGAGCGGGTCTGTATCTAGCTGTGTGCGCCAATGTATTATAAACTCAGGGACGACTCTCACGCCGCACGAGCCACATATGCACACACGCGCACGCGCGCACACACACACACACACTTTCCCCTCTCTATACGTAACATCCACACGCATCATCTCTCCCCTCTGTTACCGTCAAAGTTGCACACTGGCGCGGGTCAGAACTACATTGGAGCTTACATTTACATACACACACATATACATACACACACACATACACACATACATACACACACACATACACACACACATACCGGTCTGTCGCGCTCCTCTGTGTCACGGAGCCCAAAGGATTCGCGCAAATACGCGGCTCCTTTGGGAGCCGCGTATTTCCCCTACATGTTTTGCTGTAGGGGAAACATGTTTGTGTTTATGGTCCTCGGGATCAGCTCCACACACATCACTTGTATTTAAACTTTTGTGAAGACCTGTGAGACGCGGCTCGTCACTCGCTGCTCTGACCATGTGAACGAGCCGTCGTTTGCTGCTAGAAAGTTTTGGTATTAACCCGCAGCACAGCAGAATGGGAAGATTAAAAAAGCAGTTCTCTGTGCGCAAAGGTGCCGGAGCTGTTGCGGGTTTGGGCGCCGCTGTCTCGGCTCTGATCCAGTAGAACGCAGAGCTGCACTTATGAAAAGTACGCGGCTCGAAATGGCTGTTATTTCAAAGAACGTGGACTATTTTAAACTACGCGGTTAACCGGTTTCAACCGGTTAATGAGGCTCGGTGGTCGGTCATGAAAATTCATAGTTTTTTACATCCCTAGTTTAGATTTATATTAAGATTTAGAGATCCTTTATTTGTCCCACAGTAGGGAAATTTTAGTGTTGAAATCCCAAGTTACTGACAGTAGTAATGAGGAGCACACAGCACAAGATACAAATTTGTATTTTTCTGTTGTTTTTATTTTATTCAAAGTGACATACTGTTGTTGCTATGTTCAAAAGCCTGCTTCCTCTGGTGTTTAACATGCAAACCCAGCCCAGACAGGCTGGAGCCTTCCCGCCAAAGTGAATTACAACACAGTCTATTTTAGCCACATTTTACTTGAATTATTAAAAATTATAACTTAAATAACATTTCAATGTCACATACAATCACAACAACAAAAAATGCCAATACCAAACAGTCTGAAATGAAACAGAGCAAACTAAATGAACAATGACTCTGTATAAAAAAAAAATCTATAACTCAAGCATAAAAAGAAGCAGTTTAAAATGTCCAACTTTAGCATGATGAAGAGGCAAGATTTAAGTACAAAGACCCCCAACTTTAGCATAATAATAAGCAAATATAAAATACTTGATATTCTATTTTAAGTAATACAGTATATAGTTGTATGTTTAGAAATATAGTTGACAATTATCCTAGAAACCTCCTAGTGTATGGTAATATATTGATCCAAAGTGACCCACTTTCTGCTTTAATAACGACAAATCCTATACCACTTTATAATTACATAAGACTATTATTCCCACAGGACAGAGACAAGAGGGAAGCTGCTCAAACCTCCCTTTGCAGTTGATGGTTTAACTTAAATGTAATTTAATCATCAGCCCAATTGTTGTGCATGAAAGTATATTCAGTTATCATCAGATCAAGCAAACGCTGAACAATGAGTCTGTGTTAAAGTTATTGAGCCCATTTTCCAAAACAATAAGCATAACAATTTTTCTTTCACAAAGAAATTCCCTAATGAAAAAACAGCCTAGTCTGTGATGTCTAATTCATTACCGTTAATCTCCTTATGTTATTTTCTCCTGCAGGCTTACTGAACCTGGAGCAGCTCCTCAGGCAGTTCCTCATCTCCAAGGAGACGCTGTCGGTGCGCATGCTTGACGAGAGCCAGGACCCGACCCCGCTCCTCAAGGAGATCCGGGACGACAAGACCGCCACCATCATCGTGGACGCCAATGCCACCATGTCACATATCATTCTAGAACGGGTCAGTAAAGGGCACTTGTATGGAAAAAACTGCCCTGATTTATTTTGATTTATGCTGTGATATGATATGCCTTAGAAAATAATGTGCAAATCGTATTTCCTGATAGAGATTCTCAACAGTAGAAGCAAAAAAATATGTATGTGTCTGATTTTAGCTCTACCTTAAAATCAATGTGTCTCTCTTGAACAACTTAACAGATGATAATTTTTTTTATTTTTTAAATAGCATATTCAAAGGGGCCGTCGACATGGTTTATATGTGCCCCCAGAAAATAGGTCAACGTTTACAAACCAGTTTTAAAGAATATCCAATCAGAGAACAGAATGTGGCTCTCATTTCAGTTCATTCACAAACAAGCACCACACAATTGTTATGAAATCAGGTACAAAAATAAGAAGCCATAATTACTACACAGAGTTTGTTTCTTCCTTTATCTTGCTAAACCCCAGCAGGTGGATTGCATCTGTAATCAGTGCTCAGGCAGGAAGAGTTGGATTGTAATTGTTTATTATTTATTTATTTATTTATTTGACAGGGACAGTGTACATTAATCAACATTTCTGTAAATGCACCGGAATTAGCCAAAAGGCTATTTTTCATCCGTAGTCCCTGGACAGATGTAAAAAGTCTCCCTAAGACAATAAAACAATAAAACATTACGGTCAGTGCAATAAAATACAAAGTAGGACACAGTCACTACACTATACAGGTTAAATACAAATACAAACAGTGCAAACAATAACAATATGCCCCTAAAGTCATTGTAATGACTTTAGGGGCATATTACATACAGTCGCTGAGTTGGTGGCGGAAAGAGAAGGATTCCTTCAGCACAGAGTAGTAGGAGAGAGGTGTGAGGTCAGAGAGTGTTTGGGTCTGTGTCGTGTCAGGTGAAAGAGCGTGTGTGTGTGTGTTGTTTTAGGGTTGTGTTGAAAGCGTAAGATACGAGTTCCTTTATTTGTCCCACAGTGTGGAAATTTCGAGGTTGCAGTGCAAATACAGTACAGTAGTAAGAGCACACAGGGAGCACACACAATATATACAAATAAGTAGTAGCTATGTTTCTTAGCTAACATAACTAGCTGTAGATGCTGAACATTCTTCAATACCAGTCAAAAAATAAATAAATATATATATATATATTTATATATAAAAGTAGAGATGCACCAATCAGCTTTTTTTCTACCGATACCGATACCAGAGCTATGGGTTTCTGCCGATACCAATATTGACCGATACCGGAAATGATCATGCTAAAATGTATTTAATAATTGAACTCTTTGTTCAAGTAACTGCAAAAGCAGTGGATGAACTAAAGCGCTAAACTTTCCAGATAAAAATGGATTCAACATAAATGTGCAATAATCCAACTATAAAGAGCTGCTCAATGTTCACATTAAACATTCCAACACTGTATTATACCTTATACATTTATTGAATAGAAATGTACTTATATTAACTGTGTTTGAATAAATAAACACTTACAACAAACAAAACACGCTGCATGAAAATGTAAATAAATAATAGTACCGTAGCTTTAACTGGATTTCAGATATGCATTTGGCGACGGCATGTACCTGGGTTCCAAATGGTCTTTGGGGCTGCGAGCCCAAACTGATGAACTCCAACACTTTCGGGTTGTTGCTGAAAAGCTTTTTGTGACGCTGCGTCAGTGTCATCTGTGTCTCGTTGTTTTCACGTAATCTCCTTTCGATGCAAAAACTCCCCATGCTGTTTCTCGTGGTGCTTAGTCGTGTTGTATTTCGCTAGTTTACCGCCGCGTGAACAACGCTGATTCTTTCCTGTGCTCCATGCTGTGTTGTTGTTGTTGTAGAGCGCCACGAGGAAGTGACGTGTACGTCAGATCTGATAAATTACTTTTAATTAATTCATTTTATACGTATATGTACATTATGCATAATGTATTTTAAGACATTGTGCGGTACCTGGTATGTATTAAAAAATATATATAATTAAAAAAAAAAAAGACAAGAAAATGGATCGGCAGCACGGCGCCTATTTCTACGCAGATATCCGATCCAGTATTTTTTCTGGTATCGGCGCTGATGCATCCCTATATAAAAGTGACATTGTTCAGTGGACATTCCGAAGTTGCAGTATTGCACATGATTTAAGAATTTACTTATTTGCAGATGAATGAAATTTACAGGAGTGATAGGGGTTGGAGCCAAATAAGCGTTGTATGTATTTTGAATCTTGTTTATCGTTTATTTTCACATGTTTTAAATCTAAATCATTACTACTACTACTACTACTACTACTGAAATCTTCAAGAAAGTCATTCATGCATGTTGAGAAACCTTTGTATTTGCAGACTCTGTAAGACGCCTACGTGTGAACGGTTATACGGAGATAATGGCCGATAAACAAAGTAAAACAAGTCCTGAACCATTTGGCTGTTTATGAATTGATTAACATTTGGCAGTGAGTCGCTTCGTGTAATGTGGTCCAAGAGGAAATAAGCGAAGGCATCTTGTCAAACAAACACTCAATCAAATTATACGCTTGACAGCATTAAATCAAGTTGTAAAGCTGTGACTCATCTTGTACAGCCACTGTTTAGCACTGCGTTAAGAGGATTACTGCGATTACTGGCTCATAATGTAAGAGTGCTTTTTGGCTACTTTTTAAAGCAACATCCTTCTTCGTATTATTTTTATTTCTCTTACTTGTTGCTAAAATGCGAGTTCATAATTGCTTTGGTCTCACATGCGGTCTTTTTTTTTTTCAACTGTTACCTAATAGCATGACACTAATGTTCTTCCCTCGCTAATAGCCATGGCATTAATTAACATCTCAGCAGAGCGGCCTCCTTAAACCTGGCTCAGCGTTGCCTCCTCTTCCTGATCCGGGCTGGGCTTGTTTGTTACGGGTTTATAAAAAGGAGCTTGTTGGAGGCGCGGGGAGGACGTTCAGCCACAGCATGTGGCCCTCGAGTAATTAATACACACCTCATTATACGCGGAAGGCGATGGATGTGCAGCGCGAGCGGAGGTGACAGTAACCGAGGGCCGCGAGAGAAGACGTTCTTCTCGCTCGTCCCCCTCATTTTTCAAACTCTCTCAAGTCTCTCACCTCAATCAACTGTTGGCGCCTTCCCATCGCTGTGGTCATCTAGTCGCCAAGGCAACCCCGCCCACCCCCGGGTTCTGAAATCAGTCGGGCCTCACAGTGGGATGTCTCTTTCTTTTGTACACCTTTTCTGTTTGGTATTGCATTCATCTTTCATAGTTTCATCCAAACGCAGCCCTCTCATTTTCCACCTTGGGTTCCACTGTGCGAAGTACGCGCCGTGAAGTTGGCAGAGCTGATTCGCTTTTGTTCCGTCCGTACTCTTTCGTCTGGTGTGATTGTTAATTTGAGTAAATGGAAACGTCTGTCTTTTGTTTTGCCGAGGATTCCCCACTTCTCTCTTGTGACTATGGTCTCTTGTCTGTGAGTTTCAAGCTGCTGCCCACCATTGTGAATGTAATCACGCTCAGTCAGACCACCGCTGCTGTGCATAGCTGGACCAGACAAAAGATTGATAATAAGTCTGGCATTTCAACTCTCAAATGCTCGCTAACAACTGAGCGATGTAGTAAGCTGCTTTTTTTGTTCCTTGAGTGATATACTTGTGTTAAAGATGAATGATCAGGATGTGTTTTTGTGAAGAGGTCAAAGTTGTTCAACATTCTGGCTATAGCTCTGGGGCTCTGTTTTTTTTATGGTTCAGCACCTTGAGTTGCCTTGTGTATGAATTGTGCGTGCCTTGCCTTGCCTCGCTATCCAAAACTTGCATACTATGACTGCAGGATTTTGGCAAAATATCTCATCGCAATTGTTGACATGTACCTGCATGTATAAAAAGTCAAGCTGGGAACATACACACACAAATTCAAGCAATCACCTGTCACCTCTTCCCACATATTTCAGATTTTTCTTTATAGAATTCTAACATCTAGTAAATTCTTATAGTCAGACCTGAGTTGTGTTTGACAAGTTTTTATCAATTATGGAAAAAAGACATCTCATTTTAGAAAATACTGCTTCTGCCTGACAATGAGACAAAAGATATATTCTTGTTTCATTGGCAAATCTTCAAAATAATCTCAAATCAAGAGATTTTTCACCAAATTCAAGTGATTCTTTGCTTAACTTTTCAAAGAACTTAAATAATATGTCTTTACCCTCTTTTCCGTTTACTAATTGCGACCACAAACATTTCAACTCCGATTAATCGTGCAGCCCTTTACTTCCAGTTAGAAAATATGAGAGCGTTCAAGTTAACCCTAAGGTGTCAAAGTATCAGAATCACATGAGCTCCTGAACCCAGGGCACTTTCTATACAGCATACCTGGCTTCACGTTAGCTTCCTCCTTGTATGTGTTTCAGTCATTGATTGTCGATGCAGGAGGGTCTCAGGACAGTGATGATCCAGGACATCTAGAGAAAATTATGAACATTTGTCTTCCCAGTACCCTATTTAGCAATGACTCCTTTGTGTTTCTTAGTATCGCATTTCCTGTGTTCTAATGGTTTGATTCTCGCTGTTGTTTGCTAATTGACAATTTTGTAGTCCTCAGAGACAAATTTAATTAAATTAAATTTACCAGTTCCTTTTCTCAAGTCCCTCCTTTTGTCTAGTTCACATTCAAATTTCCGAATAATAATGTCTAAATGGCTATTATGTTCCTGTGAACCACAAATCCCGATGCCATTCAGCTGAAATCCCCCCCCCCCCGATGCAATAGACACCCGCTATGGTCCTCATCGAGAACACATGGAAGACGATGAATAATCACATGTCACGTCGACTTGAAACATTTTGCTAATTTGTTTATGTTATGTTCTGTTTGGCGCGGACTCAAGGCAGCTATGCCTTCCCTGGAGCAATAGCTAGAGACTTCCTTTTCTGTAAAAGCTTTCAAATATAAGAAGTTTAATAATGCAAGTCGTTTTTTTGCGTAAAGTAATTGATGTTTTTCTACTTCAGTTTTGTCTGTTCAATATTTTAATACTCTCTCTGTTTAAAAATGCAACACCTCACAATGACAATCTTGCCTCAGACGTACACTTTTTATGTATATGAAAGAAAGGCATGAAGGAGCCACCTGATGCTATAATTACTGAACTGTATTATGCAGCGACACAGGATGGCGATGTTTTTTCTTCCTCCCGCAGGTTTGATGTATTTCTGCTGTTTTTTAATGAGTGAAGCTTTAGTATTAACATATAGTCTTGTACAGAGGAATGCTCACATATGTATCTCGGGCAAGTCTGGTATGATGGACAAGGACTCTGAGTGACATTGGGGAATTTAAATATTAAAGACTTGTGGTCATACCATACATGTGATGATTACCACGGAATATAAGGGCCGCGGCATGTGAGCGTGAGGACGATTGCTTCAACCGTGCCCAGGCGCGCTTGAAGACTTGGGCCTGGGCCCGCTTTAAAGCCCGGATGAGGGGGGTCAGTATGGCGGGTGGTGGGGAGTGGGGGATGAGGTGTGGTAGGGACTTGATATTGTGCGTCACATTACGTCTTCCGTCGTGACGTGTATTTTCACACTCGTCTCTCCTGCACTTCCGTATTCTCCGCTTGTGTTAAACCTTTCATATACATGTAAGCCCCCGGACCATGGTCAAGGGGCGCTGGGGAGTCAAAGAAAAGCGAATAACTCCCTCTGTTTTGACCCTCGCTCACAGTGTGGTGTTATTGCAATAACACTTCAGACATTCAAGAATCAGTCTTTATTTAATTGCCAGAACACACACACACACACACACACACACACACACACACACACATGTCCACACACGTTACCTTTTGAACTGCTGCACTTTGCATCAAAGCAATGTGGACAAGTGTGAGATGTGTCTTTCCCTAAACAATGCGATCCGTACATGAAGAGAAACTTAACTCGGACAACGAGGTCGTCGCTGGAGTTAGTATTAGCGCCACCAGCTGGACCGAGCGTTGTACTACAGCACATTCGCTCTGGCACGTTTGCGAAAACACATTCATGTGACCGTGGGCCCCTTCACACCCCTGTGGCGACGATCCGGGCCACTTGGCCTAGTTCGATGGCACCCAAGATGCCACCCTTTGTGTTTCAGTGGGGGCTTCAGGCAAAGTGGGGTTAAGTGTCTTGCCCAGGGACACATTGACAGCAGACATCAGTGGGTCTAAATGACATGGGTCTTGGTGGGATTGAACCCACGACCATTAGGTCAAAAGACCAATGCTCTACCACTGTCGCACCCATATCTGGATTTACACAGACAATATAACAGTTTACATTTTTTTAGCCCTAAAATGGTAAGTGTGTCACAACAAGTTAATTTATCAATCGCAACTAATCAATCATTGAAATAGGTCGCAACTAATTTGGTAATGGATTCGTTGTTTTTTCACCTTACAGTATGACTGAGAAGGTTTTATGACTCAGGTGATTCTATAATCAGTCAAGAACACAAATCCACCAAACAAAACCACATGCATTCATAGATTCTGAATGGGGTCGGATGAAGTAGACACTTTCAAACTTCCAATTCCCCTCATTCATTCATCACAGACCAAACATCACTCTTTCCTCCGTTATCCTGGTTTGAACCTTTTTTTTTTTTTTTTTTTATCATTTCTTAATCTGTTCCAAATAGTAGCTCCACACATTGATAGACACAGTCATTTTTTAAATCTTTCTTTTAAACTGTAATTAGTGTAAGCTTCTCTGTCATGGATTTGTTGTTGTTTTTTTTGTTTTTTCCATAAACAGTAGGTTTGAAGGATATTAGGTACAATCCTAATGGCTTTCTTTTGCAAGGTGATAAAAGGCTTTAAGTGAGATTTCAAAAAGTTTCCCCACACTTCAAACAATAATTGAATTATGACATAACTAATTATGTACAATATTATAATAAGTTATTGTAAATGAATGATTTGCTGTAAAATTATCTGTAGTGATATCTGATAATTAATGTTTGATGTACAATGAACACAAAATAAATTAACACACTTGACTTATGTAGGAATGAGTGCAGAATGACATTATTTATTTTTTATTTTTATCAATCTCTGAACGTTGATATGGTCAAATGTATGAGAAATCCTACTAATACCCCCCCCCCCCCCCCCCCCCCCCCCAAAATATTCACAATAAATCAAAAAAAAAAAATCTACCAACAGAAAAATTATCTAAATAATTGTTAATTACAGTCTTGTGTATTCATTGAGTGTGTACAACAACTTTCCAACAAACTTTACCCAACCAATTACCAAGAGTATTCCTTTTATGCCTTTTATTTTGTGGATAACTTGCTTTTTGTGGAAAATAATAAATTGTATGCAAGTTTTTGTAGCAATTGTTATATTTGTTTTGGCATCCCCATATCGCATCCCTGGGGCCACCGAGTCTGAACGTTGCATCTTTCCTACTGCTATTAATGAAATGAAATGATGAAAGTTCACCCTGTCCTTCACAACTGCTTCCCGTGACTTTGATTTACTCAAATTGTGAGACAGGACAGCGAGCGGCATACTAATGCTCTCAAGAAATTAATTGCTCCATTGAGAGGCAGCGTCAGATAAGAACGTGTCTGGTGTTATCAAGATGTGGATTTGATCTGTCAGCAGCAGCGGACTGGACTTCCCCTGGATCGCTGACCTCGCACCTCACACCTTTTTTCCCGCCTGATGCTTTTGCTCGTCTTGTCATGCAGAGCCTCCGAGCCTAGCGTCCTTTGGTTTAAAATTCAACCCTCAATTTGTCTCTTCCTTCTACGTTGTTTTTCTTTGGTTTTCTGACCTGAGTTTTGTTCTCTCTACAGGCGTCTGAGCTGGGAATGCTGTCAGTCTACTACACTTACATCTTCACGTCTCTGGTAAGGAATTGTTCTTGTATGTATATAACTCTTGTTTTATAATTGCATAAAAACATAAATGATACCCTTCCTTTGGTTTGATTATAGACTTATAGACACCATTGGCAATACTTAAGATGCCATTGGTGTTGAAATGAGTCCACTGAATACTTGGTTTGGTCTTATTCAGGGTGATACGATGGCTGAGTGGATCGGATTCACTCTTCTCAGCAAAAAAGTCCCGGGTTTGAATCCCAGTCAGAACAGGTCCTTTCTTAGTGGAGCTTTCATGCTCTCCCCGTGCCTGCGTAGGTTACCTCTGGGTGTTTGGCGTCTCACTTCTGTCTGGCTTCCATCATCACTGTGTGTGGAGAGAATGGAACAATATCTTTGAACATTGTAAACGGTTTAGGTGACCTTTGTCTGTCAAACTTATTGAAAGCAGGATTTGAATAAGTAAGTAGTTAATTGGGTTTGGTTAGTTTCTCAAAAGTTATGGTTTTTACAATATTTTCTTTAAATCTTTAATATTGATCAAGGAACAAGTTGTAAAAATTTCTGAGGTGATCCACGGCCTGAATGTAGTTTTTTTTTTTCCTTTTAAAGAATGGCAGAGGTCTTTGCTCTACGAGTGCTTTTTTAGTTTAGTCCTGGTCCATCCCTGGTTTAGTTCTCGTGTTAGTTTCATAGACCGTATTTTAGGAAGGGACTGACTGAGTGCTGACGTCGCCATAGTGTGTGAGAAATGCAGAAGAAGCCAATTTCCGTATATGGGCATTTTTTCCCTGACTGGGTTAGCTTTGTGCTGTAGTAGAGGCAGATGTTTTGTTAACAGGGTTGCAAATACCACCCCGGGCCAATGGGGGTGGACCCGGACTAAGAATTAGCCAATACTAACATATAGCATCTTCTTATCTCTCGAAAACACCTTTACAGGATTGTCCAAAAGTCGGCTCTTGGTTTTGTGTCAATGCTGAGGGGAGTGAATTTTTGAAGTCACTCGTTTAAATGAATGGGGCTCGTGCCGGCTGACGCATGCGTAGATGCGTTTTTTGTCATTTTCCAGCCCCCGCGGCCATTTTTAATCACTCCATGAGAGCCCAATTTTTGGCCCATTAGTTAGAACGGCAGAGATAGGTGTGACTACGTCCGTTAATATATACAGTCTATGACACTGACTCAGACTCATGGCACCTGTTTGGTTTATATAAATAAGTTTGGTTTACTAATAAAGTTTGGCAAATGTTTTAGAATAGTTAATACCGTAATTATATTTCACTTTTGATCTATCTCAGCCATGAGAAGATTTAGGGTAGATCATTGGTCTGTGGAAATTGAAAAATAACTGACTTTTTTTGAGCGTTGTTATTTGGGAACTGAAGGGCAAAAACAGGGTTAACACAAGCTCATAATTATGGTGCCTGGGAGAAATTTGGATACCACAGTAAACTTAGCATAGCTGCTCCCTAATGGAAATGAATGAGGTTGGAAACACTTTGCTCTAATAGTGCTGTGGGGAGGATTCATATCAGTCTGATTTATTAGTCATTAAGAGCCGGCCACAGCTCGACATGTTGTACTCCACAGCTTTTAACGTCAGAGTGAGACATGCTCTTTTCACCTGCTCCTAAACAAGGTGCTCCGCTCTGCAAAGAAGACTGTGAGCTGTGAGGTCTGGAGGTTCTTTATGAATCCAGACTCTTTAATCTAAATCAAATAACCAATGACTCCTCTAGCCCCTGGAAAAGCCATGTTCCAGCTCCTTCCCACATTTTAACGATCTTGCACTTGCTATTGAAACTGTTATTGTCGAGTTGTTTCACAGAGACAATTATTTCTTGCACGTTTTAGCTTGTGTTATGTATGTACTAGTCTGGTGCACACTGGGGTACTTTTTGCACATGTATTCCAATGTGGTTTTGCTACAAATGGTAAATAAACTCAACCTGATTCTGCTGTGAAGCCTCTCATGCTTCCTCTCCTAAATCTATAAGTTTTGGGTGCAGGAGTTTTCACATCCACAGGATCAACATGACAGAATCACTGTAGGTGATTAGATTGCTAAGAGTGTCCTTGAGACTCCTGACCTCGAAGCTAGAAAAACTGCTCTAGCAAATATCCAACGGTTTGTGTGCTCAGACTGAGTTTTTGAAGAAGTCGCCCAAGTTAAAATCCATGTAATGTGTTTCAAAGTCAGAAAATGGAACATGTCTAGATGAAGAAAAACCATATTGTTGATATTCAAGAGAGATTTTAATTACAAGTATTGCTAATTACAGTGTTGTTCTTTTTTAAAACATTGCTTTCAGTGTTGGAAATATGAATCTGAACAAGAGGCTGTGTGTTGATCAATGACTGAACAATATTGCGGTAATGACACTAATTATCTTTTTTTTAATTAGCTTTTGTCACCGTGCAGCAGTGCAAGGATTTGATTTTTAGGATAATTGTTGATGTTGTAACACTGTTGTTGCTCATGGAACTGGTGTAAATTTAAGAATAGAATTGCAATCATTGGGTGGGTTCAAGGCTTTACAGTATTACACTTTTTTACTGAAGGCTGATGCATTCAAAGCACATTTTTTACTTGAACCAGTTCAAACCGGGGAAGGTTTTGTGAAGGCACCTTATGAATGAAAGTGTCCTTAGAACCTTCCCTTTGAAGTAACTCAAATCTGTAAAATTGCAGTGAAATATTGAAATGCCTCATTATGCTTTATACGATATTTAAAAAGCCCAACAATCTTGAGTGATGGGAAATAATTTCTTCTTCTTTGCTTTACTCTCTGTATATGGGTGTGTCAATTATAGTATCCGGACTTTAAAAGGTTTTAAATCAAAAACTAGAATTACTATCGTAGATAAGGAAAAAAAATCAAACAGAGACATATCAAAGGGAAATGTTTAAAGACCAGATCAGCTTCTGATTTGATAATTCTACTGTGCCGCCAGTTACATATAAAATAAAAGGTCATCAGTGACAAAGCAGCAGATGAAATCCCACAACATTAACATGGCTATTACATCAGTAAATCACTCAATTTGAAAAGGAATCAATTTGGAAAAATAATAAATACAAATTTAGATTACCCTTGAAAATGTGTAACGAATGTGAGGATTTCCGTCAAAAAAACTTGACTTTAAAATGGGGTTTTTATTAATTATAAATACAGTGGACATGATGTAATAGTAATACTTATGTTTGGGAGAGTGTAGAATTAGTCTTTCACTTGCGTTTCCAGTTTCTTAGGTGACTGGCAATGCAAATTTAGCTGGTTTTGGCACTCGTCATTTTTTACTCATTAATTTCTTTGGAACAAAATTCACAGACACATATGTCAGTCCCACTCGTTTGTTTGAATAAAACCAGGTACAAAAATAAGTGGTACTTACATGTAGGAGCTACACGTGTCACAGACAGGAAAATTCTGGCAACAAAAGTTGGATTGTAATTGTACTGAACTCTAATTGTGCATATTACATACGGCCCCTTTAAATATTACACAACTATAAATAGCATTTATCTTTTGCCTTACTCGCAGCAGCCTTACAATTAAAACTATTGCAGTATTCATTTTTTCTAAACTGCTCATAAATATATGCATGATAATAATAAGTACAATAAAAAAGACAAAACTAATTTCTTAAGCAAAATATCTGACATGAAACAAATGACTTTAATTACACAAAAACTGAGCCATTTCTCCTCTTATGCTTCTTCACTTTTTATCTATTGTGTAGTTTTATTTATTTATTTCTTTCTCGTCATTTCCCTCTTGTGGTGCCTGGCTGCTTTGCTGACACTTCATTTATCTGCGCCGCTGACACCCCTGACTAACGACGTGCCAGACTGCTCCCCTGCCTAATCTGTTTCCCCTGAATCATCTCAGCGCGCTCATCAACGCAACACCTCACATTTTGTCACTGGACAGAGGTCTTCAACTTGACTGTCTTCATTTTGGCTTTTTGTGCCTGTGTTTTTGTTCCTAAAGATGGAATACTTAACTTTGGAATTACAAAAAAGTAATGTAATGTAATAATGAAATCAGTCAGTCATTCCTTGCTCTCTAAAAGTTTTCACATATCTGTATTCATAGCCTCTGTCACATCTTTGGATCAGTTTATTCAGTGATAAAGGAGGATCAGCTCTCAGTATCTCTGATTTGTTTCTTTAGGCCTCAGCTTCTTGAGGCTTCTGTTGTTTATCTGAGCCGTGCAGCGAGTGTTCACAAGGCAGTCCACAGTGTTCTGAGAAAGGCAAAACCCCCATACTTTGTCTGCACAATAATCTTATGAATGTGTACACAAAATGTATGCATTTAAAATCGTAGAAAATATGCGCTTGTGCTTCACACAAGTTTGCATGTTCTCCATGTAGTTTTCCTCTGGGTACTCCGGTTTCCCCTACCACTAAAAACATGTGCAATAGGAATGAATGAAATGAGAGTGTATGAACGGTGATGGTCAGAGGCTGTTCGGCGTCTTGCTTCTGTCATCATCGTGTGTGGAGTAAATGGAAAATGCAGCCAGCGGAAATTCAATTTGGTAGACCCAGCCTATCGCACAGCAAACGCCCCCTTCCAATCACCGTACCGGCCAGGCAAGCCGCTTAAAAGCGGAGAAAACTCCCACTCTCGGCCTTCTCGAAGCCTGCAAAGAATCGTTCTGGAGGAATCGCTTGTCTACTCACGCTTACTCCTGCGGTCCCTGCTGTCCTCTGTCTTGCTGCGTGTGGTCTGCTCTTCCTCCGCGTCGCTGCACCTGCTGCAGGTCTCGTGCTGTGGTCCGTGGGTCTTTGCCGCTCTCCTCCTTTGCGGGCTCTTTCTGCGGGTTCGCCGCTGCTCGTCTCGTCGCGGCCGCTGCTGCATACGGCCGGTCTGGCCCGGTGCGGTGGGAGCCGTGCGCATCCCTGCCTCCTCGTGCCGGTACGGCGTGGTCCCGTTGTGTTGTCCCTTGTCTTCTGGCGTTGTGGGTAAGTATGAGATCTGCGGACGGTTTTATTCCCCTCGCATTATACTGCAGGCTCAGTTGGCCCCGCGCTTGTACTGCAGGCTCAGTTGGCCCCGTGCATTGGTGGGCAAGCTTCAGTTTAAGGCCCTCGCATTGTTCTGCAGGCTCCCTTAACCAAGCTCCGTTAAATCTTTCACTCTGACTGCAAGCTCCGTTTATTCTTCACATTGGACTGCAAGACCTCAGTTTAATCCCTCACATTGGACTGCGTGCTCTGTTTTAATCCCTCACTTTGGCCTGCAGGCTCTCTTTAAATCCCTCTCTGGACTACGAGCTCTGTTTAAATCCCTCTCTTTGGACTGCAAGCCCCGTTTAAATCCCTCTGGACTGCGGCTCCCAAATTGAATCCCTCACTTGGACAGCGAGTTCTCAGGTTAATCCCTCACGGAACTGCTTAAATCTGGAACTGCTTATACAGTGCCTTGCGAAAGTATTCGGCCCCCTTGAACGTTTCAACATTTTACCACATTTCATTTCAAGATATAAAAAATATATTTTTTGTCAAGAATCAACAACAAGTGAGACACAATCGTGAAGTGGAACGAAATTTATTGGATAATTTAAACTTTTTTAACAAATAAAAAAACTGAAAAGTGGGGAGTGCAATATTATTCGGCCCCTTGCACTAATACTTTGTAGCGCCACCTTTTGCTGCAATTACAGCTGCAAGTCGCTTGGGGTATGTCTCTATCAGTTTTGCACATCGAGAGACTGGAATTCTTGCCATTCTTCCTTGCAAAACAGCTCGAGCTTAGTGAGGTTGGATGGAGAGCGTTTGTGAACAGCAGTCTTCAGCTCTTTCCACAGATTCTTGATTGGATTCAGGTCTGGACTTTGACTTGGCCATTCTAACACCTGGATACGTCTATTTGTGAACCATTCCATTGTAGATTTGGCTTTATGTTTTGGATCATTGTCCTGTTGGAAGATAAATCTCCGTCCCAGTCTCAGGTCTTTTGCAGACTCCAACAGGTTTTCTTCCAGAATGGTCCTGTATTTGGCTCCATCCATCTTCCCATCAATTTTAGCCATCTTCCCTGTCCCTGCTGAAGAAAAGCAGGCCCAAACCATGATGCTGCCACCACCATGTTTGACAGTGGGGATGGTGTGTTCAGGGTGATGAGCTGTGTTGCTTTTACGCCAAACATATCGTTTTGCATTGTGGCCAAAAAGTTCGATTTTGGTTTCATCTGACCAGAGCACCTTCTTCCACATGTTTGGTGTGTCTCCCAGGTGGCTTGTGGCAAACTTTAAACGAGACTTTTTATGGATATCTTTGAGAAATGGCTTTCTTCTTGCCACTCTTCCATAAAGGCCAGATTTGTGCAGTGCACGACTGATTGTTGTCCTATGGACAGACTCTCCCACCTCAGCTGTAGTTATCTGCAGTTCATCCAGAGTGATCATGGGCCTCTTCGCTGCATCTCTGATCAGTCTTCTCCTTATTTGAGATGAAAGTTTGGAGGGACGGCCGGGTCTTGGTAGATTTGCAGTGGTCTGATACTCCTTCCATTTCAATATAATTGCTTGCACAGTGCTCCTTGAGATGTTAAAGCTTGGGAAATATTTTTGTATCAAAATCCGGCTTTAAACTTCTCCACAACAGTATCTCGGACCTGCCTGGTGTGTTCCTTTGTCTTCATGGTTCTCTCTGCGCTTTAAACAGAACCCTGAGACTATCAAAGAGCAGGTGCATTTATACGGAGACTTGATTACACACAGGTGCATTCTATTTATCATCATCAGTCATTTAGGACAACATTGGATCATTCAAAGATCCTCACTGAACTTCTGGAGTGAGTTTGCTGCACTGAAAGTAAAGGGGCCGAATAATATTGCACGCCCCACTTCGCAGTTTTTTATTTGTTAAAAAGGTTTAAATTATCCAATAAATTTCGTTCCACTTCACGATTGTGTCCCACTTGTTGTTGATTCATGACAAAAAATTAAAATTTTATATCTTTATGTTTGAAGCCTGAAATGTGGCGAAATGTTGAAAGGTTCAAGGGGGCCGAATACTTTCGCAAGGCACTGTATCTGGAGCCGTTATACCGTACCTGGAACTGCTTCATGCGGAACTGCTTATACATGGGACTGCTATATATGGAACTGCTATATATGGAACTGCTTATATATGGAACGGCTTTTATATGGAACGGCTTATATACGGAACTGCTCATGTTGGAACTGCATATATGGTACTGCTCATATCTGGAACGCTTATATATAAAATAAATAAATATAAATAAATATAAATATGAATAAATATAAATATAAATAAATATAAATAAATAAATGAAAAAAAAAAAAAAAAAACTCCTCACTTGGACTGCGGGTTCAGTTAATCCCTCACTTGGACCGTAAAACCTGTTAAACCCCTCACACTGGACTGCAGCTCTCGGTTTAATCCCTCACTTGGACTTCAAGCTCTCAGTTATAAATCTCTCTTAGGACTGCGGGCAATGTTGGATCCCTCACTCTGGACTACAAGCTCTCAGTTTAATCCCTCACCTCGGACTACAGGTCGTTTAACTCCCTCGCACCGGACTGCAGGCTCTCCGTTAAACGCCTCACTTGGACTGCGGGCTCAGTTTAATACCTCACTTTGGACTGCAAGCTCTATTTAAATCCCTCACATTAGACTGCAAGCTCTGTTTAGGTCCCTCGGCGTCTCGTGTCCCGCAACCTCTTCCCGGCTCTCCGTGAGCCCCAAGTCGGCACGCAGCTCGGGCGCGGGAGGTGTCCGTGGGCTACGTCATTGGCCCCTTCTCTCCGTCTCGCTCTAACCCGATGGGCATCGCCACCCGCAAGCACTCCAGGAAGAAGCGTCTCATACTCGTCCTCTCCTGTCCCCGCTCCGGGCCCGCCCGAGCATCCACAGCCCCTTCCCTCCAGCGCCCTTCTCCCTGCAGTCCGCTACCGTGGACCACGCGATCAGGCTGATAAAGACTTTCGGCCCCGGCTCCTGGCTCTCCAAGGCCGTCATCCCGGACGCGTTCAAGCTGCTGCCATCCACCCCGACCACTGGCGCTGTTCAGGGGTCAAGTGGCGTCGGAGTTCTTCTTCGCAGTGCGCCTCACCTTTGACTGCCGGAGTAGTCCCTCTCGTTCAACAATCTCTCGGAGGCGCCTTGTCGGATTCTGCTTAATTACGCGCGGCTCCCCTCTGTCTGCATCTCCCCGATAATTCCCTCGTAGTCAACCCACCCTCAGACTGCTCCGGGGGCTCTCTCCGCAAGCTCAGGCCCGCCTTCTCTGCCCTCGGATTCCTCCACTCCGGAAAGACCACAGGCCCCGCCAACGCTCTGGAGTTTCCCGGCATCCGCCTCGACACACGCGCCATGGAGGCCTCCCTCCCGCTGGACAAGCTCGAACGCATCCGCGCTTTCTCCCGGTCTGCCTTGGCCTTCCCGTCACTTCGAGGCGTCCTTGCTCTCCCTCCTCGGGCATCTTCATTATGCCGTCCGTATCATTCCCCAAGGTCGTTCTTTTAATTCCAGACTCCTCTCCCTCGCCGGCTCCGTCTCCTCCCTCAATGTTGTGTCTGCCCGGACGCGGGGCGCCGCTCCGACCTGGCGTTCCGGTCCCGTCTGCAGAGCCGCTGGGATGGTGCATCTCTTTTTTTTTTACAGTGTCATCATCCTGTCTCAGATGCCCCGCGGTTCTTCACGGACGCAGCCCCGTCCGTGGGTTTTGGGGGTTTTTTCAGGACCAGTGGTTCGAGTGGCTTTCCCTCGAAGCATCTCCTCCGCGCGCCACGAGATATATCCCGTGACCGTAGCCTGCGTGCCGCGGAACCATACGTGGCATAGGAAAAGGATTTCCGTGACGTGCGACAACCTCGACGTCATTGAAATAATTAACAGAGGTCGTTCATCCTCTCCCCAAAATCACATCCTCCTTAGACGCATCACATGGCTCTCAGTCCTGAACAATTTCGTCCCTCGTCACCTAACTGTCTGCTGACTCTCTCTCTCTCGCTTTAAATTCCAGGAGTTCTGACGCCTCTGCCCTTCTGCCAATCCATCGCCATGCCAGATCCCCTGCACGGAATCCCTCGCCCCGGCCTAGTCCCTCCGTCTCTTCACCTTCTCTCCTCCGCTGCATCCTACATGAAAATGGGCTTCTTACGCATAAGCGAATTCACAAACTCTCACGCCACCTTTAAATGCATCCCGAGACATTGCCTTCTCTGACCTGTCATATTATCCCGACTACTTCAACCCCCACCTCAAGCATTCCAAACGCAAAGGCGCTTGCAATATAGTCATAGCTCGGTCTGACACTTCTCCCTGTCCCTATAGATCCATGATGCATTACACTCGCCCCTGCTCTCGGAAAGGAGATCTCTTACTCCCGATAACCTCCCATGTCATCCAACTGGTTCAGAGCCCAACTCAAGTCCGTACTGCTGCTTTGTAACCTGTCTCCCCATCTCTACACAGCCCACTCCTTCCGGATAGGCGCGGCCACGCGCGCCGCGTCACTGGGGCTCCCCCATTCCGCCCTCCAGCAGCTGGGCCGCTGGTCATCATCGGCCCTCTCCTCATACATCAGGCCTGACACTTCGACCATTCTGGCAGCCCAGCGGCTTTTGGCATCTCCATAAAACACTCGCTAAACTTCCTGGTGGCGGCAGCAGCTGAGTATCCGCAAGTTATGGTCACAGTAGATAGCGGTCACAGTATATAGTGATAGCGGTCACAGTATATAGCGATAGCGGTCACAGTATATAGCGATAGCGGTCACAGTATATAGCGATAGCGGTCACAGTATATAGCGATAGCGGTCACAGTATATAGCGATAGCGGTCACAGTATATAGCGATAGCGGTCAGAGTATATAGCGATAGCGGTCACAGCATATAGTAGTCTCGACATTCTGTCCCCTCCAAACCAGGCTGCAAAACTCCATCAACACACAGCCTTTTTGGGGATTGGCGCGCTCCATCGCAGGAGGCCCTCCGATCTGAAGGCCGCACCGGGGCCTAGGGCGCCAAACCTCCTCCCAATAAAATACTCAAAAGCTTCTTGTTTTCTCGTCTCTCCAAATTGAAATGCAGCCAGCGGAAATTCAATTTGGTAGACGTCAGCCAAAGGTAACCCCTCCAGGCCGGTTCTCATCCCCAGCCTATCGCACAGCAAACGCCCCCTTCCAATCACCGTACCGGCCAGGCAAGCCGCTTAAAAGCGGAGAAAACTCCCACTCTCGGCCTTCTCGAAGCCTGCAACCACCGCCTCCCCTCCTCCTCCTCTTCACCCTGCCTTCAATCTGCCTTCAATCTGCTTCCCGCTGCCAAATGCCGCCACCAGTGCCTAGGTCCCGGGGGATTGGCACGCTCCATCGCAGGAGGCCCTCCGATCTGAAGGCCGCACCGGGGCCTAGGGCGCCAAACCTCCTCCCAATAAAATACTCAAAAGCTTCTTGTTTTCTCGTCTCTCCAAATTGAATTACCATTACACTATACATTTCTCTATCTTCCCTGCGGCGATGAGGGGGGGTCAGTGTGGCGGGTGGTGGGGAGTGGGGGATTAGGTGTGTTGGGGACTTGATATTGCGCGTCACATTACGTCTTCCTATGACGTGCATTTTCACACACGTCTCTCCTGCACTTTTGTATTCTCCGCTTGTGTTAAACCTTTCATATAAGCCCCGGACCGTGGTCGAGGGGCGCTGGGGGAGTCTCTCTCTGCAGGGCCAAAGAAAAGCGTTTCCTACGGGTGTAGCTCTCTTCTGTCCTGACCCTCGCTCTCAATGTGGTGCTATTACAATAAAACTTCAGACATTCAAGAATCAGTCTTTATGTAATCACCAGAACACACACACACTTGTAACCTCCCTGTCTGCGGTCGCTATGCTCATACTCCACACTTTTCATTCCTTCATTCTCATTCATTCATTTCTCAGCGCTCTTACGCTCGTTGCTTAAGAGTATGTGTGTGTGTGTGTCCGCGGCGCACACACGCGCACACACACACATACACGTTTTTGTTACCTGGTGGGTCCCTTTGACAGGGCCGTTCAGAATGGGACCCATAGACATAATCTTTTTTTACTGGGACTACTTTAAGTAATACAAAACAGTCAATAGAAACCAAACAACTATTTTAAAGGAATTTTATTTTAGATTTTGTTTTTGAATTGCAGTGATTCTATTTTTGACATAGAATTTAATGCCACTCCATGTCCGATGTCTAAGGTCATCTGGTGAGGCATTAATGCAGGCCAGGCAGTGAGACTTCCCAGGGACCTTTCCAGTCTGTATGAAAGGTGTCATGGTCTTCTCCACAGCCTTCACCTCAGATGCAGACCATGGCTTTCTTACACGTTCTAGGGAGAGAAATAAAAATATATTAGAATATACACTCCCAGGGTTAGGACCAAGCAGCCTGGCTGTAATCCCCCACCTGGTACACTTACCAGAAGGGGCACTGCCACTACCATGGGGTGCATCTGGATGAATGGTTGAAGGTTCTCCGCTTGAAGTTTCTTTTAGCCCGTCCGTTTGTGAGAGGATCTCTACTGCTCTCCCTGTCGCACAGAAAATAAAAATACAAGTGGCCTTTAGGGGGAAAAAATCATACATATTTTAATAATATCAAGAATTACCTTCAGGCTCAATTTGTATCTGGTCGAGGCTCTTTCCTTCGAATTCCGTCACTCTTCCCTGCTCCATGGCCATCAACACTTTGCTGATTTTGGCCAGCTCCAGTGTCCCCTCTGGTAGTCTGTAATATTGCCTGTGGATGCGAATGTCATGGCCGAGGAAGTTGGCAAGTATGTCCATCTCATTCTCTTTCATATTGAGAACTGTAGACATAGTAGCTATGTGCTTTCTAAGTTTGGTTGAGAGGATAGCATCTCTGGATGCACCGCACCACATTCTTTGGCTACCTGGCGTAGGGAGTCTGATCCCCTGATGTGGGTGTCTGCGCCCGGGCGGGAAAAGAAGTATGGGTTATGGTCAGAGATGGAACAGGCCCTTCTGTTCTCCACCAGCACCTCCATCGAAGCAATCATTTCAGGAGTCAAAAGAACCGGCACTTTCCGACTTCTTTTCCCTTTAATTTCAATGCGTTGAAAATGCTGACACAGCTTTTTCTCAAGTTGGGACAGTCCCAGAGCAATGTCAGAATGGATCCCAGTCTTACTTCTTAAGGTAAAGGCTGTCAGTGGCATCTTTGAAACCTCACCTTCCCTTCTTCGATTGAAAATGATGACCTCACAAAGAGTCAAAACTGCCAGTTTAGACCAATGCTTAGACGTTGGCTCACTTATTAGGGTTTGCACATATTCAGGTCGACATACCTCAATATGTGCATGCATGGCTCTAACGTCCTCAGTCAGAGGGAGCAGGTCCGGAGTGTTCCACTTGGCTTGCCGGAGGGTCTGTAGGGCAGCAGAAGAAACACAGACGTCCCACCTCTTCTCAAAAAGCAGCCGGCTTCGTTGGAGGTTTTTAATAAATAGTTCATCAACACAATGCTCCATTTTTGAGTCACATTCAAGAATATCTGCTAGCTTTCTGAGGCTATGGCCGAGTTTGAGGGCCAAGGATGGAGTCTTGTATTGATTTGTTTCCTCATCATATCCAGCCACAGACCTGACTGCATCAATCACATGGTTAAAGTTGGAAGGAATAAAGAAATCCTTAATTGTTTTCAGTTTCCCTGCGGTTTTTGCTTCGTTAATTAACCTACCGACTTCTCTCATTTTCTGCCTAATGTAATCATGCTTAGTCTTATCATGCCCGTGTTTTAAGTACAGGTGCTCTCCGAGTCTCAGAATCCCCTTTTCTGCTTTGACAACACCCGTGACCTCATCCTGATGCATTGCCGAAATTAAAGACCACAGCTTTTTGCTGATGCCCTCCGGTACAGGCTGGGCTAGGGAGCAGAGGGACTGGACCCTACTTCTACCTGGTTTAGCCTGGGCATCTTTCTGTGAAAGCCGGCACCTGGCCACATGCCTCCACAGCGACTTTCGCTTAAGCAATGCCCCACAGTCTATACAGTGCAAAAACTCACTGGATTTAACTGGGGAATTTGGCTGTTTAGCTGGGACTAAAGTTCCAATGCCGGCCTTTAAAACCTCAAAATTGTGCTCACGGTTTCCACTATTCCTGATCAAATCAAACTGAAGTTTACGTGCTTTAGATTTCACAGGTAGAGCCAATGCTCTGGCTACGTCACTTTCATTTCCATGTTTTCTAGTCAAATGACGGGACATTTTGTGGCAGGACATTGAACAGTAGAGGCAGAAGTGTCTCTTGCTGTAAACTCGCCCCCCATTTTTCTTCTTTTGCAGCTGCATGATAACAATCTTATTTGCCTTTGGTTCGTCACTTTCCGAGTCTTGAAGAAAAGTGTTTTTGATTTTTCTTTTTCCATACTTTTTTACAGGTTTCTTCTTGACAGTTAAATCGTCAGAATCTGAGTCGACTTCATCAATTAGGGACTCTTGACTAAGCTGCACAAACAACAAATAATTTGTAATCATTCTATATAACAATTTGAAGTCATGACTTGTAGTCAGCACTTACCAGTGGTTTGTAAGCGTGCGCTTCAGTGTGCTCCTCCATGATTTCTTGCAGCCTAATGAACCACACACTTGCACCTTTTTCTAGCCTGACACCTGATTTCCTCTGTTGTGCTGCTCCATGATTGGCTCCAGCCTGCTGGACTGAAATTGCCCCAGTGTGCCCCTCCTTGATATCCCGCAACCCACCACCAGGGTTCCGACACATAACACACTTTTTTCAGGAAAGTAAACCTCCAGGGGTCCTTTCCATATTTTTACAGAGACTGCATAAGGACCGTTAGAAAAGCATTACCCATTGATTATTAAGCTTGGACCAGTGGGGTCCGGTGTTCGGGCCCCACCACGTAAAACCAGTCCCCATGACGTGAGTGGAATCTCAGGTTATGGAACCCACCAGGAGTTGAAAACAAGTGCACACACACACACGTGTGCATTCACGTTACCCACATGTTACCCACTGAACTGCTGCACTTTGCATCAGAGCAATTTGGACAAGTGTGAGATGTGTCTTTCCCTAAACAGCGCGATCCGTACTGAGCTGTTAGCTACTGTACAGTAGGTCCCATTTCGTTTTGTCGTCTTCATTCACGCTTTTCGGGAATCACGCAGCTGCGTGAAAAATATTACATCTTATCGCCACAAGGTGGCAGGTTAAGTCCGCTTTAGCTCTGCCAGCGACTTAGACGCTCAGGTATCACACTGCGTGCAAACCTGTCTAGCTCAGAGATTCTATCTTGGCCGAATGGTTAACATTGAAGGCTGGGACCTGGAGAACCCAGGTTCGATTCTTGTCTGATGCAATTTTGGTTGCACATCTTTTGGTTGCTTGTGTGCAATTACGTAACGTTATCAGATTATTATCTTCTTTCCTTGTCAAAAGGAAATGTGTAAAATTGGCTGTGTGTTCAAGCCGTGCATGTGAATGTATATGTGTTGCTTTTGAATGCTTTTTCAAAGTAAGAGCATAACAGACAACATATACATATTTTGTACTAATGTTAATCTTTATAATTAAATTGCATTAACGTATATATGTGATGCGATCTGGGAAAACCCGTCGGATGTCAC